TTTCAAACAGCAGTTTTCCAAAGGAGGGATTACTATGCTTCAAATTCAAATAAAAAGTATAAGCATATACCTTCTATTTCTTTATCAAATGATCGCTTTCATTTTCAACTATTTAGATACTTTTCTTGTTTTGTTTTTAGAAATAGCAAGGCGTGATTCAATGTGTTGATGGGGAAATAAAACAATAAAATATCTAAGATGGCTCCTTTTTGTATGTAAGATCTAATCAGTTGCCTGTATATCTAGACCTGAACTGTCCAATGATAGCCACCTGCATCATGTGACCATTGAGCACTAGAAAAGTGGCTGGTGTCAAATTCATTAAACAAGGAGGCCTTCAGACTAATGTAGCTGTAATGCCAGGGTGGCTTACATAAACAGCCCCAAATCTAAGTTTGTAAGTGCCTCAAGGTTCAGAAATTGAAACAAGATAACCAATGACAAACGGGCTAGGCTTTTAAATTGTAGCCAATCAATCATTTCCTCACTCTGAAAGTCTCTCTTGAGCTCTTGTTGGTAGAACGACGACGTCCTGTATGGTGCTGCCTGAATGGAATGGATTTTCACTCAAATAAACTCTTAAAATGTTTATCGTATAACATTAGCCTGAATCGAGATGTGCCTCAGGTATAAAACATGCACTGGACTTCAAAGTCTTGGGGTGAAATAAAGAATGTAAAATGAGCCCAGCTGGCATGGCTAAGTGGTTAACCATCAACCTCAGAACTAGGAGGTCAGCCGATCAATGATTCTCTCTCATCATTGATGTTTCTATCTCTCCCTCTCCCTTCCTCTCTGAAATCAATACAAATATATTTTAAAAAGAAGAATGTAAAATGATTCAATCATAGTTTTTATGAGGATCACATGTTGAAATTACAGTATTTTAGATACATTAGGTTAAATAAAACATATTGTTAAAATCAGTTTCACCTGTTTCTACTTTTTAAAGAGTTGGCTACTAGATACTTATTTAAAGATTTATATCACACATGACTTGCATTTATTTCTGACATTATATGTCTATTCAACCGTGCTGATAGATCATCCTTGCAATTTTCTAAGTAGACTTTAAAAACATTGCTTTGGAGGAAAGCATAGTTATCCTAATGCATCAAAGAATTACAAACACCCCATTATTTAATATCCTATCTATTCTATGCTTAAAACTGAGGATACAAAGTCATTAAACAAATATGTTTCATAAACATTTTTCCACCCACAAACGGACACCCTGCAAAAGGATTTGGACTCTAGACACACTTAACTCCCAAATCTTTCCTGCTGCTGATTCTCTCAGTTACTGGTTCGTTTTGACAGCCCACTAGGCTTTCTTGTCAGTTCGTAAATTTGATTTCTACCTACTTTCTGAGACTGATGATACTTCCTTCAAACCCTGCCTTCCCTTTGTCTCGGGTTCCACAATATGAACCCCTGATTCCTCATGGACCAACCTACTCACTTACATTCAGAGTCGCAACTGCCCAGGAACAAAAGAATCAGTAGCTGTCTTAGCCTGTGCCTTACACTGTAATGAATTTACACATGAACAACCAAAATCCCTTTGGTTATATTCTTTGTACTAATGCACTCAAGACCCGTGTGCACTCACAATATCAGATTTTGGTGCTGTAATTACCCAACTTTATGATTGCATTATATTCATGGGTGTATATAAATTATATTGAAGGTTGTTTATGTCATGTCATGCAGAAAAACACAAAAGAGAAGGTATTTACGGAGGTGTTCTAATTTAATTTTTTTAAGTTGTTATAATAATTGCCCCAGCTTTACTGAGGTATAAATGACAAACAAAAATTGCATAGTTTAAGGTGTGCAATGTGATGTTTTGACATATGTATACATTGCAAAATGATTACCACACTCAAGCTAATTAATATATCTATCACTTTACACAGTTACCTTTTCTATGTGAGTAATGAGAACACTTAAGATCTACCCTCTTACCAAATTTCATGTGTATAACACATCGCTATTATTAACTAAAGTCATCTTGCTGTACATTAGCTCTCAAGAACTCATTCATCTTATAACTGAAAATTTATACCCTTTGACCGACATCTTCCCATTTCCTACAACCCTGATAACCACTTTCTAATTTCTGTTTCTATGAGTTCAACTGTCTTGGATTCTACACGAGAGATCATTCAGTATTTGCCTTTCTGGTCTGACTTATTTCAGTTAATATAATGCCCTTAAAGTCCAGCTGTGTTGTTGCAAATAACAGGATTTTCTTCTTTTTAAAAACTGACTAATATCCTGTTATATATTTGTATCATATTTTCATCTATGGACATTTAAATTGTTTCCATGTCTTAACTATGGATTTCTTTTTTTTTTAAGGGTGATGTTTTGTAAGTTAATCAAAAATGGGCAATAAATTATATTAGTACTAATTTAAAAATTATCTCTGTAATACTCACTGACACTTCCTGTCTTTCATTTTAAGAGGTTATGTTCTATTTGAAAGCATGGCTACTTAAAATAGAGGCACATTTTCTCCCCTTGTTGTTAGAGAATCAAGAACACAACTCTTTGTTAAGGAATTTAAACTTAGGACACATAATTAAATAATATTACAGGGCCAATTTTTAACAGAAACACATGCATTAACGCTCTTATACACTAATCTGGATTAGTCATTGTGATTTTAGCTTAGAGTAAAAAAAAAAAGTCTTCACCAGGTGCTTGCCCCACCCAGTTTTATTTCCTGGAAGTTAGTTTTAAAATCCCTCACTTGATCTACTCATTGTTCCTGGACTATTAGAGAGAGAGAATGGTTAAGAGTTTAGGTTGTCTTTCTAAGTATTCTCAAAAAGGCCAGGCCCAAGTCATAGCATCACTTCACTGGAATTTTTACCAAAAAATGATGGAATTTTGAAGCAAGAATTAAGTTTAGGTAACCTCTTGTCCAGCTCCTTTTATACAGATTAAGAAACTGAATCTCAAGAAGGTAAATGACTTATCAGGACTGTGGGGCTGGCTTTGCCAGAACTGGACTCAGGTCTTGACTCTCTGTCCAGTGTGTTTTTTTGTTTGGTTTGGTTTGGTTTATTAATGCAAAATGATGGATTCTTCAATTTTCTCCTTGTAAATAAACAGTACTCTCATATTTGTATTGTATAGCTTCTAACATGAACTACATAAAACTTAGTTTGCCTACAATCATTCTGTCCAAATAGTTTTTATTACAAAATGCCCATTTTAACAAGTGTACATCACTTCCTAAGATTTTAGAAGAAATATTTGGGTGAAATTTTGAACTAGGTATGTTTGAATGAATTTCATGTTACACAAATGGACAAAATAGGGTAGAGATAATTATTTTTATGCCATTCCTTTGAATCTGGAGGCTGGTGGAAGAGATGGATTCAAGGTTGCACACAGGAAGTCCCTGTCAGTTGGGAAAAGAGGTGGTGAAATGCACTTGTAGGAGACATCCTATGTCTTTCCCTAACAGCATTCTCTGCTGCCCCCCAGAGGTTCTATGAGTCTTTAGTGAGGGCTGCAGAAAGGGAAACATACTTAGGGGTAAGCAGATAAGTAATGATTTTTCCCTACGAATTCTGCACCCATTTACAATGTGGGCTTTCCCCAACACACACACCACCAAACACTTCCCAGGACACCAGCTGGGTTTCCTACAATTCAACTCAATTTTGACACTATCTTCTAAGATAGCAAGTTTCATCCTTTTTCATCTCATGGAGCACATAAACTGATTCCTAAAATTCTGCAGCACACCCAAAATCTATATTTTTCACCGATCTGACAAAAAGGGGTATAATTTTTATTCATTCACACTGGATGGCTATTATTGTGTTGGCTGTTGTCATTTATTTGACAATCTAAAGGAAAAGAGGTTTAGTGTTTGCTGCCTCCTGCACACCCCACACTGGGGATCGAGCCCGCAACTCGGGCATGTGCCCTGACTAGAAATTGAACGGTGGCTTCCTAGTTCAGAGGTCGATGTTCAACTGCTGAGCCACACTGCCTGGCATATTGCATGTTTTAAAAATTCTTGCGGCACACTGGTTGAAAATCAGTCTTCTAGGAGATAGTATCAGATTCCACAGTTGAAGAGCTCAGCCCTAGAAAACTGCCCCCACTTCAGGGGCCCATTGCAAGTCTAGGTCATCTTCTGTGCTTCTGACCCACCTGCTATAATTCTAACATTCCCACAACACCCAATTTTGGTTTGATTAATGTGCTACAATGGCACACAAGCTCAGAGAAATGGTTTACTTAATTAAAAGCCTATTAACTCAAGAACAGCGAAATGGGAGAGATGCATGGGGGAAGATGTGAGGAAAGGGTGCAGAACCTCTCTGCCCACCTCTGCAGGCACCACTCTCTCTGCATCCTCACTGGACACTAATCTGGAAGCTCTCCAACTTGGTCTTTTTGGGCTTTTATGAATGTACTAGAGGCCCAGTGCACAAAATTTGTGCACTGGGGTGGGAGGAGTTGATCCCTCAGCCTGGCCTGCACCCTCTTACAGTCCGGAAGTCCTCGGGGGATATCTGACTGCCAGCTTAGGCCCGCTCCCCACCTCTGGGTGAGTCATGCTCCCTCTGTGGGAGTGCACTGACCACCAGGGGGCAGCTCCTGCATTGAGCGTCTGCCCCCTAGTGGTCAGTGTGCATTATAGCAAATGGTTGTTCTGCCTTTTGGTCAATTTGCATATTAGCCTTTTATTATATAGGATCATTGCACATATATGATTGATTAGATCACTGGCCATTGGTAATGGGGTTAGCCTCCAACCTCTCTCCCCGCCTTGGAGGTCAGAGGCTGGGGTTGAGAAGACTGAAAGTTCCAACCTTCTAAACACAAGAGTGGCTCCACTGGAAACCAGCCCCCATTCTTAGGTGCATGCCAAAAGTCATCAATAATATAACAAAATAAATCTTTGTCATTTTCACCACTTAAGAAATTCCAGGGGCTTTAGAAACTTGTGTCAGAAAATGAGACAGGAAGACCAAATATATTATAATTTATTACAAGTGACAATATCACAATATAAAATCTTCAGAAAAGACAAATTCTTAGGGACAGAAAGTAGATTAGTGGGTGTCAGGGGCTGAGGGAAGCGGTTAATTTGGAGTGACTGGCAATGTGTATAGGATGTAATTTTAAGATAATGCCAATATTCTGTAATTAGGTGGTTGTACAACCGTGTGAATATACTAAACCATTGAATTGGACACCTTAAAAAAGTGATTTTTGATAGTATCTGAACTGTATCTCAAAAATTTTTGAATATGGCAGACTAGAGAAAGCTAGAAAATGAAATTGTCATGATACAGTGAATTTTTAATAATTATAAAATCTAGTGGCAGGTGTATGGTTGTACCCTGTGCAATTCCTTTAACTTTTCTTTATTTTTTCAAATATTCACACACAAAAATGTTTGGGAAAGAATTTCACAGAAACAATAAAAAGAGAATAATACTTTTTTTAAAAAGCCTGCATGCAGTAGTTATTGGGGCCAATGAAACAGACTGATTGGTATTCACTAAACTTTGGAATTAGGAAGATGGCCTCATGCAAAGCAAACTTGATGCATAGAATACATCTGCATATGAGAGTTACACAGGAAACTATAGACACTGCATGTAGGCCACGTGGACCAAAGAGCATCCAGTTTAAGAAAATGTCTTAACAAGAGTTTATTTGAGCCAAAATGACCACAGTTGCTGGGAAGCAAAATTTCAAGGAACTGGGAAAACACTTGGAGAATGGCCATTTGCAACTTATTTTATACATTAGAATCAAAGGAGGAGATTTAGGAAGGATACATGAAATCCATTGGTGGTAGATTAGGGAGGCAGGAGAAAGCAAAGCAAAGCAATCACTGGGGTTGAATAAAAAGAAAAATGGAGAGACAAATGCTTCTTTTACACGGTGGGTACAGGATACTTAACTGAACATTTACAGCACATGGGGGTGGGATTCTAGGAACAAGATAACAATGAGGGGTTCTGTGGCCTCTTGCTCTGGTGAGGTGGGTGTGCCCCGAGGATCAGGAAAAGATTACTCTGACATTTCAAAGGTATGTTATCTTAGATGCAAAAACACAGTATACAAACCTTTGATAAAGACAGACCTTTGTCAAAGAAGCTACAGGCCTAAGACGTGACTACCCTCCATGCCCTGCCTTTAGTTAGGAATTTTTATGTTCAGACCATCCAATGTGGTTCATTTCAGTCTCTGAGTTTATGAGGCCTGCCATGCCTTCCCTGAGCTTGACAGGTTTAGTATGTGGCCCCTTTTTCATCCACAGCTACGAGGAGATGCAGGTCCTTACTTCCATTCGTCTTTAAACTAGAGCTCCATAAAATCCAACTGGCCTCCGTACCTTCTCACCCCACTCTGTTGTCCCTCTCCCCTCTCCTTCTCTATGTAGTCTTTTCCTTATCTTGGGTATGTTTTATCACTACAAATATCACACTTTTTTTTATTATTTGTATATGTGTCTTTCATTCCTAAAAGGCTGTGAGCACTTCAAGAGCTGCTGTCATTGCATATTAATCTGTATATTCCTTCCCTCCTCCACCTCCCTTGCCAGAGCTAGTCTTGTTTCTGTCATTTTGTCAGTTCTAAAGAAAAATCACTTTTTAGAATATGCCTAAGAGGAGCATTGAACTTTATAACAGCAATGAGTCTAAATTGATTTTACATTTATAATAGGTAAAATCATAAAATGTAAGTACAAAAATAGCATTAATAAAGTGACAACATTCATATCACGTATGTTGATGTAAAAACTGTCAAGAGACAAGTGGAAAAAATAATTTATTGCAGATTCTTTTATACATTAACATGGAACGTCTATACATATATCGATGTGTTGATATGAAATACTAAATTTAAAGACAAACATTTTTACACAAAAGTAATTGCACTATATTTTGTAAAGATAGATATCAATAAATTATGGAGACATTTAAGAACAGGCCAATTATTCCAATAGGAATGCATTGGTTGTTGCAATTAAACTAAGTTATCTGAACGTGATGCCCTACAGATAATCACATCCTTCTGAACTAAGAAAAAGAAGTTCATTTCTGAGAATAAAAGGCCAGGAATGGCTCTGATTGACAGAGTGTCCCAGTTGTATTCTTGGAAGTGGTTAGAGTCCTGAACCTGTATCCCAAGCTAATGTAATAGCTCACGGGGGAAGAGTGCAGTTTTCTGTGACCACTGAGTGTAGTTAATGAGATTTAATACAAGGGCTACAATACAAACAATAGCATTTTACAGGAATTATAATTGCCACATGATTTGAATAAGCATCCAAATATTTTAACAACAGACACGTGTGTTCTATATTTCTGAAGGGAAATTGACACACTTCAAAATAGTCCCTATATTCTTAGCATGATATACTAATTATTACTTTGGGAGTCTGAAAATAAATCATTTTTTTCTCCCTAAAACTTACAATCCACTCCTTTAGAAAATGATTCCTATAATGCTATACACCATCATGATATAAAGTTTGTTATATGTTATAGTCATTAAAATATACATATACATATATATGAAGCATGAGACAGATTTGGTCAACCATGATCTGTATACACAAGGCCAAATACTGTTCAGTTTCATTTAACTAAATTCAACAAATACGTATTGGGTGTCTACTACTTACAAATTACCATGTTGAGTAATGCTTGTAGTAGATTTTAAGACACACGAAGCACATATCATCCACATTTAAGCCGAACTTTAGATAATGTATTAAACCTTGAAAAGAATCCAAAGCAGAGCGAAAGTTGAGTAATGAGTAGTGAAAGTTATACCTAAGAGATAGGCTTGGGGTCACTGAAAAAGACAAAACAAGAATTTGTATCCATCGGTAACAACTGCTCCTACGCTTGCCAGATGTTAGGGGATAACCGGAACCTAATCCCAGTCTTCCTCCCGCAGTCCAAGATTCAGTTATCATCCTGGTTTGTTTCCTTGGGAAGGGGGAGACACAAGGGATTCATTTTCAGTGATGATAAAGCTGACAGCACCCTTCAAAACAATCATTTTCTGTAAGAGTGGGACCTGCATTCCTGTCTACCGTTTTTCTAAGGCATTCATTCCCACCATAACTCTGGGTGAGAGAGGGCCACCCAACTACAAGGACCAACACTCGAGGTACAGTTAAACGTATCAGAAAATATCAGTAAGCATGCCAACCCCAGAAGTAAATTATTTAAAGTAAAAACAGCTGGAAGAGGATACAGATAAATATTTTAAAATTCATCATTCCATTCCTTTCAGGACTTGTTATATTCTAAAAGCATTTTCAGGGGATGTATACATATAGGAAAAGAAATGTAATCAAGTAGTCTCACCCCCTCTACAGAACCAATACAGCAATAGGGGAACAGAGTGTCCAACTAGTTTCTGATGCCACACACTGCAAGTGGGAAAGGCTGGGCTTGGCCTGCATGTGTGCCAGTTCACTGGCAGTCATGGGATTTCAGCTCTGGGGCCAGTGTTCTGAGGTCCGCTCCAGCACGTGGGTTCTGGCGGGAAGACAACCACAGCGCTAGCACGAACCTAAAGCTTTCCTACAAAATCATTTACATTCTGGAAAATTATAAATCACTCTTCTCTGTAGGTAACACACTCAAGGGACCAGAATTGCCAAAGATTCCCCAAACATTTACAGGGAGATCCTTGGCCCTTAGAACGATCTAAAACCTCATGGTTGCCCAGTTGGTGTTGCTCAGTGGTGAGCATTGACCTATGAACCAAGAGGTCACTGTTCGATTCCCCTTTCCCTTCCCTGAGTTGAGGAAACAAGGCCAGGGGATTCCCTTCCCAACCCACGCACCTCAGTTGTGTTTGAGCCAGATGACAGAGCAAGAACAAAAAATCAGGGCTTCGCCATCCAGTGATTTTGGTTTTAATTTCAAAAGCCAGCAACCACAAAGTATCCCTTAAGAAGTATAGGGTGTCCCCCAAAATGTATACACAGATTTTGAATAATTATAAAGGCAGTGTTTATTAAAATACATTTCATTTTCAAAATTGAGCTATCAGCTGTTAAAGTGTGTATACATTCTGGGGGGACATCCCGTATTTATTTGTCTAACTGGCTCATTGGCAGTGCAGTACTTTGTCTGCTTTACTTAAAAGTTTAATTCCGGAAACAAGAATTCTTTTCAAATGAAACATGTTTTCAGTGATTAAGACTTAACTCCCCATTTTTATAAACTGTCTTGAAAAAGAATTAGGCTCTGCTTAGTCATACCTCTGTCCCTGTATTTTTTCTGGATAGAAACCAAACTTGCATTGGCTCTTTCTTGCCCTTCATGGACACTGGGCCTCTGTGCTCCAAGAGGAACTGTGGGTCTGAATTTTCTGGTGTCATAAGACATCTGAAAGACAGCGAACAGAGAGTAGGGAGAGAATTCGGGAATATGGTTGCATGGCGAGAGAGCGTGGCATGCACCAAAGCTATAGAGACAGCAAGGACCACACACTAAAATTGTGCTTAAAGGTAGTTCAAGATTTTAGGAGCAATGATCATATCAGGAATTTCTGAGATGATATGAAAACATTTAAAGTGAGAATCATGACGCAGTCTTCTCAAATACAAATTAAATAATCCTAAGAGTGAAGATGATAACTGCTTAACAGTAAACAAATTCACTCAGAAAGTTAAACTACACGCAAACAGACATTTTCCTTTCAAATCAGTGAATACCAAGACGTGTTCTCTTACCTGTATGTATATTCAGACACATTTATTTTTCCTTTTTCTCCGGTGGTTTCTGTCCTGCTTGTGAGGTTGACAGTATTTCCAAAAAGACAGTAGCGAGGCATCCTCTGCCCTATGACCCCTGTGACCACCTCGCCAGTGTGTATCCCTATTGTTATCTGCAGGAATCAAAGCTTTGCTTCAGTAACTTTAATCACTAACACACTAATATTTATTTATTTTGTGTTATGGAATAATGTAGAGTCACTATACAAAAATCATAAGAATTCCCTAGAAGAACTCCAAATGTATGACGGACAAAAAATAAAAATGCTCACAAAATCCGTCTTCCAAAGGAACATTCCTTTTCTAAAGACTTAAGATTTCGAAGATATGACTCTGGCAAGTTATGAGACACAAGAAAGAGATTTTAAGAAAAATTAAAATAAAACCAAAAAACCCCAGAAGGGACAGGAGGTTTTATTTCATTCTCATAACTGTCAGTACATGGGGTAGACTAAGTAATTTCAGATAAGTGGAGAGATTTGTCATCTCTATGAAAAAATGTAATACAATGGATTCTTTAAAATATTTCAGTCTTTGCTGTGAAGATACCCGTCCTTGTACATAATTTTGTGACTGATCAAGAACATGAATTGGTTGTCTACAGAGGCCCACTACCATTAGTGTGATATCTATTTTATTTACTAACCTGAACAGATTCACCATCTACTTGAACTTGGCCAGCAATTTCCATCATGTCCAAGGCCAGGTGGCAAATGGATCGTGCATGGTGGATGCACGGCTCTGGCAAACCACTCACTGTCATATACTTATCGCCAACAGTCTCCACCTAACATAGCACAGACAGTTAGATGTTTATTGGGTAGCATAAATATGACCGCTTCATTTGCTATCCTTATACAAAAAATTACTTGTCCAAGGCTATCAGTAACTTTAAACTCTCCTCCCACTTAGTTCTATAAAAACTTTAACAACAACAACCTGAAACTTTGTCATTGTTTGAAATGTATACACATGGCATTTGAGGTCTTTGATTACAGGCAGGTGTAGACACAGCATTATTTTTCCTCTTGTGAGTCCTGATTTTGCACCTCAGATACCCTTATAATTCAGTAAAACAATGTATTGCCTTATTCCCTCTCCCCCACAAACATATCCAAGCAGTGAAAGTTTAACAGCACAAGAGCCACTGCCTGAAGTTCAATGATTTATCCTGGTCCTTAACCATTTATTTTTATGATTTGCTCACCAAGTGTTACACTAAAGCTCAGAAAACAACTATAAAATAAATAGTTCTCAAGGCACTTATATGACTCCAGATGCCAGTGGATGGTTTAGTTAACATTCTTTCCTTTACGAAGCAATATTCCACTGACTTCATTTTTCCAATATTATCATTGCTTCTCATTGAAACCAAGGGCAGAAATGCCGCATGAATGTTTATCTTCAGGTTGTTGCTGTCTAAACTTCCAGCATACTTCTCATGCTGCAGGACTTCTTTCCCGTATAAAACATTTATACATTTCAGCAAAAATGTCTCGTCCAGAGCACGAAAACGAGTGCTACGTTTATATTCCGTGTGCTCAGATTTGTTCAGTGAGTGCAAAAAAGCTGCTGAAGATTACGTTTTAACTAGGGAATCATCTGCTCCATGCATGTTGGTTACAAGAAAGAGAATGCTTTATAGCAAGCATGTCAAACTTGTGGCCTGCGGGCCACATGCCTTGTGTATTTGGCCCGTGTTAGCCTTTGAGTTTGACATGCCTGCTTTATAGCCAGAGGTGATTACTTAAGGTAATGATAAGTATGGGACACATGGAGGTTTCCTATCTATGGAGGCTACACTCAGAGAACTGAATGGTGTGCCCCTAGAGGGCAGGGTCTGACAGCACTGCATCGCCATAAGGTCAGGACTTGCCTTATACACAAATGGATTTTTCCTGGAATCAGTCAGTGTGTCAAATCTGGTGTAGAGGTCATTGAGGAGGTTGACAATCTTCATGGCCCCTTCCCCAGAGGCATGCTTGCTACAGAACGCGTTGAAGCCCACAATGCCACTGAAGAGGATGGTCACATTGTCATATCTTTTAGCAGGCACAGGACGCTTGTGTCTCAGCTCATTGGCAACAGATTGAGGAAGGACGGAGTACAGCAACCTGTTCAGTGGGATCAGGAAAAAGCCGTAGTAAGGAATGCTGGGACTAGGTTTAGTGCTTCTATTGACCATTTCATAGAACATTGATATCTTTTGCTCTGTGAAGTCCTGGCTTCTTATAGGGAAACCTCTACAGCTAGCATCAAATGTTAGCTGTTTTTATGTCAAAACAAGACATATAGACAGTATAAATTGTTTGTCTGATTTGAATTACATACAATTCCCCAAGGCCAAACCAACGCAAACCAAATCAAAATAAGCCAAACAAACACCAGACCAAACAAAGAAAAGTCAGTTTTCATTTCTAGGCCTGTGTTCTGACTCTGCTGTTAGGATAGTCACCGTATGGAAGTTGTCACTGCCAGCCCTGAAAACACGGCATGACTAGCACACCGGGAGCATGCTTATCTCTCCGGAATGAGAAACTGATTTCAATTGTTGTAAAGCAATATTGAGAGGAGCAGGTTTCCTCCCATCGCCTTCATCCCTCACTCTTCTGTGGCAGAAACTGGCAGTACAGGTGGACCTTGGTCTAGACACGAAAATATTTTGTTTCTCTAGTCGATACTGAGACTGCAGCAATGGCCTCAGGGACCCTACTGAGGGGACAAGTGTGGTAAACACAACAGGAGAAGGGTGATCTCTGATGAATTTACAGGGAAAGAAACAGAAAGCAGGGAGACTGAGGACTCGGCGTGAGGGCTCAGAGGGAAAAATGAAGCCTCCTTCCTTTTTCTTCTCTGTAGTCAGAGGGCATAACGTGTGACATAGAATGTACAACATGGAGCTGAGCTCACATTATTTTTCCTAGCTTTAGTGGAATTTCCCCAGTCTTTCATTTTTAACTTTCAAACAGAAAATTTCATAAACTATTTTAAAGCTATATTTGAATATTAAATGTGAACAGTAGGACTACTTGGCTTGAAAGAAAAGAAACAGTAAAAGGGTTTATAATTAAATCACCTAGAGAAACAAATGTCTATAAAAAATGAAAATACTAAACTGGGGTGTTTTTCTAATATAACAGCCAGAGCAGAATACTAACTTGACTTTGAATCTTTGTCCTAAGGACTGTCTTACGTGCTCCACAAAATTTGATGTTTTTCATGGATAGAGTTGTACCATAGACCAATAAAACATACTGTTTGAGTTGTTTTTCAAGCAGTGGAAGGAATGTGAACTGTCTGTCCCATATATTTTCTGAATTTTTCAAAATACATGAATAGATTAAGGGGTTTGGTTTAGGACTGTGAGGAATGTTAAGTGGTCTCAAAAAATAAATAAATAAATAAATAAACACAGCTTTCACCTGCATTATACAAGGGCCAAGACAATGCATTAAGAAGCTGTGGAAAAATACAAGCATTAAATGGCGTTCTCTGTTTCATCCATGCTATGAATAAATAGCTAACTGATGTTTTTATGTGTGGGCAACCATCCATGGGCAACTACACATTTATCAATGCAAAAAAAAAAGCATAGAAAGTGATGTTGTTACCAAGATTGTAAGTGCTCAGGTAGAGTAAAAGCTCATATGGAAGTAAGACAAAGGAGTTCAATTCTCCAACAAGATATCTTCCTGTTATATAAACATTAAAAATGAACATACAAGGCCCTGGGTAAAATATCTTATGAACATCAGTGACTTAGTGCCTTTCATTACTATATGCAAGCAAGGCCAAGTAGTATGCCTGATGTGTATTTAAGTGAATTACTGAAAATGAACTACTACTTTAATGCTACTTGCCCCAAATTTCATAATTTCATCTACCATTCATAGAAAAATAATTATAGCCTTATACGTCCATTTTTTGATAATGTTTGCCTTTACAAATATAATTGTTGTCATTACAGAGGACATTACAATCTGTCAGATTCATATCAGCCAATTCCTAAAATAATTCAGTCCAAGAAAAGAAATCTTTTAAAATGTAATGGCCAACTCTAAGTTCTGTGTGCAGTGTAACCCTCAGAACTTGGCCAGCCCTTGGCGCACAGAGGATGCTCAAAATATATTTCTTGTATAAAGGAAAGAATGAATGATAGTTGGATTTCAAACATCTGAATTACTGTAATGATTTTCAGAGAGCTGTATTGGCATTTATTCTTTCAGCTTGATTTGTAAAAATAGAAGACATATTCCCACCACCATTGAGACTGATTTATTTCTGTATGCATAATTTCATTTTAAGTGATATGGAAGAGTTTATCTACTACTCTGGAGCTATAATGGCTCTCATGCCTTTTTAGTCTGACTATTGATCTTCACTGTAGTAGAGTCACTGTATACCTAGCAGTCGTGCAAGGTTACAGGCTTACGTGTCTGTCTTTTTCTTTTCATCTTCCAGTGCTCTTAATGTGAGCTGCAGTCTGTCTGTCAGAATTTCCAGCTCCTGGGTCAGTTTGTATTCCTCTCTGAATTGTTCCCCCAAAAGAACGAGGTCCCGTGTGGCATCGTGCAGAGGGATGTCACTGAGATACAGACCTCTCCTCGTCAAATCGTCCAGATTCATCACACTGTTATACAGAGAAATGAGGCACAATCATTCCAGCTCACCCACATGACAACGCCAATGTTGCTTACTGTCAGGGAGCATACTCCTGCCCTCTCCTAACATTCTAAAGCTTCTCGGGTTGAAGAAAAAAAAAAAGGAGAATCATCATTCATTCTTCTAGAGATTTCAAAATCTACCAAAGGGCAGTGAACTTAAAATGCATTTTTGCCAAAGTGTACTTTTAATGCTATTAGCCTACATTGAAAGATAATGTAGACAATCGCCCTATGCAACCTGCTCAAGTATTTAACACAAGGCTGTGATTTATTATCACATTTGCTCTCATTATCAAGAGATGAAAAAAATTGATCCTCTCTTTAACAGGGATATGTGTGCTTCTTCTGAGAAACTTGTTCGTTTCTTCCTATAGATTCTGCGACGCCTGTGACTGGTTGCTTTTTCCTTTCAGACATGATGATTAAAAGTTTACAACCAGATTTATGACCCATCTTCTACAAGTATTTTATGTATTTACTAGAGGCCCGATGAACGAAATTCGTGCAAGGGGCTTGGCCTCCACCACCACGGCTTCATCCGGAAGGACGTCCGGTCTAATTAGCATATTATACTTGTATTATTATAGATGACTTTCTGACATATATTTTTATATGCTATTCTTACTTTTGATTCTAATTTCTTATCTACTCTTATTTTCTTTGACTTTTGTTTCTCATTTATTTGAATCAATATATTAATTGCTGAATTTTATGCATCTTTGCAACTTAAGTCATTTTCAGAAACAACATAATATTTATTGATTCAGTGTAGACCTGGTAAATAAGTAGCTTTTTAAACAATGTTCTTAAAAATTTAATCTTTGGTTAAAATGTCTTAGGGTTATATTATTGGTATGAATTCTTTAGGTGTAAAGTAATTACTTTGGGACATTTACAATAATAATTTCTCTAAGATGACATAATTGAGATCTTCCTGAAGAATTATGGATTGCTAAAATGCCCCTCTGGAATACATTTTCAGCAGAAATGTCCATATTTCAAAGCAAAAATTAGCATGCCAACATAGAGATATAAAATGATCAAAACATTTACTAATGAAGCACATGGTCTCTTTAGATTTTGTTAAAATGGATATGTAAGTAAAACTCACTTGCAGAAATAGACTTTCTGGAAAGAGGCCAGATAATCTGCTAACTCGCATAGGACTGCCCATGAGCAGAGAAAAAAAATATTATATGCTTAAAATAAAAATGAATGGTTATGGCCCTTGCTGGATTAGCTCAGTGGATAGAGTGTCAGCCTGCAGACTGAAAGGTCCCAGGTTCGATTCCAGTCAAGGGCACATACTCATGTTGTGGGCTCAATCCCCAGTAAGGGGCAGGAGGGAGCCGATCAATGATTCTCTCATCATTGATGTTTCTTTCTCTCCCTCTCCTTTCTTCTCTGAATCAATAAAAATGTATTTAAAAAAAGAATGGTCATGAATGTTCAGACTAAGTTAAAAACAATCAAATTATGTCTCATTTTTTAAAAAAAATTATTTATTATTTTGTCAAACTATCAAGATTTTTTCTAAATTTGAACTAATTCTCTTGAAATTATTTTAGAAGTAAAACTGCTCTTAGTTGATCTCTTAAAATTCAATGTGAGTATGTCTTTTTTCACACAGGGACTGGTACCACATAACAATCTGCATGTGTGTCACTATGTAACTAATTTCTGCATATGATAGTTAAGAAATAGACTCCAAATTTTCTGCTCTGTTTCCATAGAAAACTTCATCACCATGAATAGAAACTGTTCCTATTGAGAAGCTCTCGACTACTAAAGTTCTACTTGGAAAGAAGCAGAAGAAAAAAAACAATATTGGTGGCAGATAAATATATAATTAGACTAATGCAGGTTGTTAATAAAAAAATAAAGTTTATGTTCCCTACTTTTGTCTTTTTGAAATCTGTTTTTATTGATAATTTTAGAGAGAGAAGAAGGAAAAGGGATAGAGGTACACTATAAAATCGACTTACACTTCAGAATATGTAGACATGATTGAATAAAATGCTATTGAAATCCTTTGTTAGCTAAAGATGGGTTCTTACCAGTATATACATTATAATTAACCTAAAAAGCATTACCTTGGTGAGCACAGAAAAAGTATGCTGTCTGCTTCAGGTAAGTAGATCATTTGACCCTTGAGACGTAAGCAGCTGATCTCAGTCCCAGTCAGTTCATCTTCACATTCTAATTTCTCTACATCCAACAATCCTTCCTTGAAAAGGCAAGACAAAACCGTTACCTAATGCCTTTTTCCCTACCTAACAATTCAGCAAAAGGAAGGACACATAAACCTCATTTCCCACCAAACCCTAAGGGAGAATAAGTGCACCAATTAGAACAAGGGAGAGATTTCACCAGAGTTCTGCCAGGGCATAAACATAGTGGCTCCCTTACAAACACTGCAAAAAACCGAGTTAATTCTCTCTGAGCACAGAAAGCCAGTAGGTATACTACTGTTCACATATTTATTTAAAGCTCCCATTATTATTTCTGATTTTCCAGTATGGCTACGCTATAACACCCTGTCTTAAAAACACACACACACACACACACACACACACAAACACAAACAAAAAAAAAAACAAGCCTCATCACTCCTCACCCCTGCATTCACAGAACAACTGGAAATAATTCCAAATAAAGTATGTGTACATAGGACCTTTGGGAAGGCTGTAAGAAGGATGAAGTGTGTACTTCAGGACACCTTTGCTCTATCAATCCCAAAGACAGGGTGAGATCTGGGTACTACCTAAATTATCAACTGAATGAATATTTTATCACTCCTATTTCCATCTCAAAAGTGGAACCAAGAATAACAGACACTTGAAGGAAGTGGGTGAAGTTTAAAAAACAATCTTTATCAGTTCTTCTGACTCCTAAAATAGGACATCGCAGCTATACCGGGGCTAAAAGATGTTGGATTAATATGTGAAGCGAGGTTGTCCCAGCGAGGCATTCTCAACACTTACTTTTGTCAATGCTGACCAGGTGACAGAGTCTCATTGCTCCTCCGGAAAATAAAAAATCAACAGTGTCGCCTTTGAAATAGGATTCCTTTTGAGGTTTGCTTCTCATCTAGCTATACCTCCTCCAACTTCTAGAATGGCATAATAGCTTCTTTCCCCCCAGAACACTTCTAGTATGTAACTCACCCTTCTTACTCACATTTAATAAAACAATATCTTGCTTACCTTGCTTCTCAATACGAAAACCGTATTGATGTGTGAAAGGATCCCATGGAAACTAATGTCAATATGAGGACGGACCAGAGAGAAGACAGACAAAAGGCTGCAAGTGCCAGGCTGGAGCTAAAATGTAGATAAAAAGAAAAAGAACACCTATTTAAAACAATGTTTATTTTATATTTTTAGATTAATCAGCTCAATTGTATATAAGCACAGAAATATATTATTTTGTAGGAAAGTTACCTCAACTATGGACTCATATCTTGACCTATGCAACTCGGTGATTAAATGGACATCAAATAGTTCCATGAACATAAAACCTAATATGGATTCAGATGACCAATATTCAAAAATAATCTCACAAAAATAGAAGTATTTTCAACGGAGAATGGAAATTTCTCTTTGAAAATGTAGCATGACCTATTAAATGCCAATGGCTTAAAATGAAATTTAAATATTAAGACCCTCATCAAACAGTTTATCAAGAGATGGTTAATAATAATAATAATAGGAAGCAGTTACTGATTGCTTATAGGGACAAGGACAGAGAGAGGCCAAGTAACACACCCCAGCTAATAATGAGGTAGAGCCTTAGCCAGCATAAGAGCCCAGGCTTTTGGATTTATAGGTTTATGCCTGATCCCATTTGGGCTAATCCTGGACTATCAAGTCTCTTCAATTACAAGTAAAAATTATTTCTGGATACATGTCATGTACAACTCCAAAAGTTGGTAGAGTAGAAAGGAAGGCTTTTACAACTGGGTCAGAATAATGCCAATCAAACGCAGATTCTCATCATGGCCTCCACTGTTGTCCTTTGACGCTTTTTCTACCCAGTCCCATGATAAGCTCTGTCGTTTTTAGTGTTTTTTAAAATTCTCTTCTTTTCCCTGAAAATGTCAAAGGTTGATTTTGAAAGCTATTTTCAGATAGTAGATATCCAGTGAATATTCAATGAATAAATAAGTGAAAGTTGATTGTTACTAGAAAGTGTTCCGTTATCTCATTTTTAAAAAGTATAGCATTCCCACTTGCCGTCTTTATTTTTTTAATCCTCATGTAAGAATATTTTCTCCATTGAATTTTAGAAAAAGTAGAATGGAGGGAGGAAAGGAAAGAGAAAGAGAGAGAGAAAGAGAGAGAGAGAGAGAGAGAGAGAGAGAGAGAGAGAGAGAGAGAGAGAAACATTCATGTGAGAGAGATACATCACTTGGTTGCCTCCCGCACAGGTCCTGACTCGGGTAGGGATGAGCTTGCAACCTAGGTATGTGCCCTTGACCAGAAATCAAACCTGAGACCTTTCACCATTCAGTCCATGGGCCGACACTCTAACCACTTAGCAAAACCAGCCAGGGCAGCACTTGCCCCGCTTTTAATAGAAAAAAGAAAAAGAAAAAACCTGTTGTAGGAAAGGTAGCATTATGTTTAAATATACTATGCTCACATTTAAACAATTTATGTAATATACGATATGCTGCACATCACCTAATACACAGTAAAAAGGTAAATAAAGGAATGTTCGCATGTAACAATAGCTCTTTATGGCCTTTTGTCTCAGTCCCCAATGAAGTGGGATGTCGTTTACCTGGGGAAGCACTCTGTATATGGCATTGCCACACTGAGTGACCACTAGGTCCCGGTCAAATATTATGTGGAAAGGAAAAGCTTTGCAGAAGGTGTAGGGGCTGATGCGTGAGTCCTGGGTACCATTTTCTTCAAATCTGTCAAGATCTTCATAAAAATCCTCTTCTTTAGACTCTTTTTCTTCAATTAAAAATTGAGTATGATCACATTCTTCATTTCTTTGCTGAATAACCTGGATGTCAAAGGGGAAAATGGTCTTAATTGTCTGCATTTCAATTTACTTAAAAAGGCCTAAGTACCTAAGAAACTGGTTTTGAGAATTGCATTTAGAGAGTTAATTTTAAAAATTTAATGTGTGCAAATGCTACACATGCCTAAAATAGAAAACATTGTCTGGATATTCATTTATGAAACTCGAAGACTGAATAATTATTCACAGTAAAATTGTGAATCTGTTATCAGTCCCCTAGTAGCCTGTACAGACTCTGGTAGAATTGGAGGAAAAGCAATCTCTTATCCTGGTGTGCTTAGCCTCTAAGCCTGGCACATTACTATAATGAATGACCTACAAACTATATAAGTAGTATTATTTAACATGTTAAAAGTAATACTTGCAGACAAAAATAAAATAATAGAAGCACATATTTAAAAATACATGAAATATCATTCTTTTACCCATCAATTGGCAAGTATATAAAATTACAATACCAAGTTGGTTAGGATACATTAAAAAATAAGGCTGAAATAGGGTGTTCCTCTCCCCACTTTTCTCAAATTTGGGGCCACTGAAAAATGGCTCTTTGGGCTGAATATGCTGAGCACACAAAAAGCAGCTCACTGGAAGAGACTGTCTGGATTAAATATAGAAAAATGATGGTTCTCTTTATTGCATAACTAGAGGCCCGATGCATGAAATTTGTGCAAGGGGCTTGGCCCTGGCAGGCCCAGCTGCCTCGTGGCCCTGCCCACTGGTCGTTTGGAAGGTCTTCTGGAAAGTCATTCCACCCTCTGGTCTAATTAGCATATTAGCTCTTCATTATATAGGGTTGCATTCATATCTTGAAATTCTCACCTAAAACTAACAATCCGTATTATCAATAGCAACACCTTTTTAAAGTATGAGACCTGGCTTCTTTCAACAAGTAATATAATTTTTTTTTTAAAAAAAGTAAAACTTTTAGTTCACAAAATAAGATATTCCAATGATATTTCAGGGATAGACAAAAAAACCCACAAAGAAACAATGCACAGTAATATAATATCTAATTTTATATTATCATAGAGTTTGACTGTCTGTGTTATGGAGGGTATTTTTTTTTTTTTGTACAGTTGGGCCTTGACTTACGAGTGTCCCGACTAATGAGTTTTTTGAGATACCAGCTGTTTCTCAGCCAATTTTTTGCATTGAGTTGACAGAGTAATTTGAGTTAACGAGCTCCTTAACGAGCTGGGTCTTGGAACGAATTAAACTCATAAGTCAAGGCCCCACTGTATTGTGAAGGACACAGCTTAGCCAGTCCCATATCCTCCTGCTTCCCAGCTACTGGGTGCTCACAGAGAATGCAAACTAAATTAAACAATGTATAAAAAGAAAAATCTGCTGAGACAAAGGGGAAAAATTGTCTGTATTCCTATATAATCTTGCAGTCCAAGGCCAAGCATAGACTTCTGGTGATGCCAGTGTTATGGTTTATACTAGTACTAGAGGCCCAGTGCACGAAATTCGTGCACTGGGGATGGGGGGGGGTGGAGTCCCTCAGCCCGGCCTGTGCCCTCTCACAGTCTGGGACCCCTCGCTCCTTACCGCCCGCCTGCTTGCTGCTCCCTACAGCTTGGCTCGCTGCTCCTTAGTGCTGCTGCGGAGGTTCCCACCACCTCCACTGCACTTGCCAGCCATGAGCCCGGCTTCTGGCTGAGCAGCGCTCTGCCTGTGGGAGTGCACTGACCACTACGGGGAAGCTCCTATGTTGAGCATCTGCCCCCTGGTGGTCAGTTCATAGCGACCAGTCATTCCACTGTTCGGTCGATTTGCATATTAGGATTTTATTATATAAGATATGCCTTTGGTGAGTTCCACTAGCTGCAAGAATTAAAGGTAAATTCACTGAGCACCACTTTTAATATTCTGCCATCTCTATTTAGAAGTGTCTTCATTACTGATCATTACCTTCATGTCGATTTCAGTGCCATGTATTTGTTGAGCTACCGTTTTAATGATTCCGATGACAATATCCTGAAGTCCTTCTCTCTCTGAGTAGTAGTGCAGAATGAGTCCTTTGCCCTTATCTGCATCAGTGCACCTAAAGGAAGGTGCACGCATGCCTGGGTAGATAGTAGCAAGGTGGTCATGCAGAGCATCGAGGTTCTGCAATGAAGAGGAAATAGTGATGAATAAACAATGCTCCCACAATGGCAGCTGACTCCTGGAAAGCAAGATAAAGACAGAAGGTTCAATCTGAGCTTAGTGGGCAGATCAGCCGAGTAAACATTCACACAGCGCGCCCTTCCCTTGCGGCACAGAGACATCTGTAAGGCAAGAACCACAGAGAACTTGAAACTCAAGTAGAGTAATTAAAACAAACATCTGTGGCTATTAATAGTTAATGCATCTTAAGAAAAGATAAATAAACAAGTGGGGTAAAAAAAAAAAAGGAATGACTGAAGCAGAAAAAAAGAAACATAGTTAGGGCTAAAGCAAAGATATACGTATTTATAGGTTTGGGGCAGCTATATATGCATGACACTATCATTTCATGGTAACATAGCAGTTTACCCAATTTTTCTAAGACTTGATTTTTTCTGATAAAATGGAGATAACTAAAATGATATATGTAAAACACTAAGCACATCCCAGGTGCAGCAAGCAAAATAATGGTGCTCCCCCAAGTTTCCATGCCCTAATCCCTTTGAATATGATACCTCTCCTGGCAAAGGAGATTTTGCAGATGGGATCAAGGTTATGGATCCTGAATTGGGAAGGAGATCCTGTATGATCCTGGTGGACCCAGCTAATCACATGCGTGACTGAGACCTTAAAAGCCAGGACCCTTTCCTGGTTATAGGGACAGAGAAGTGTAATGACAGAAGGTCAAAGAGATGGTGGCATGAGAATGATACTTTGTTCCAGGTTCTGAGATGTTCATGTGCAAGGGTGGAGAGAGGCCTCCAGGGCCTCTCAGCAAAAGCATCAGTTCATCCCCATTGCCTGTAGGGGCTGCTATTGTCATGTAAAATATGACAGACACGAAGTATTGGAAGTTAATATATAAACTACAAGCCGCTTGAGTCCCAAAACTATTTTACTTGGTTAAGTAGTATGAGGAGTTCTTCCTATGACAAGTTCTTCTCAGGATAATTCTTTTCTGAGAAGGGAAGACCTGAACACATAACCCTCCCAGATTCCATCTGCTGATGTTGCAAAAAGGTTATGAGAGCCCTGGCTGATTTGGTTCGGTGGAGAGAACGTTGGCCTGCAGACCAAAAACTCTCGGGTTCGATTCCAGTCAAGGACGCTACCTTGGTTGCAGGCACCTCCCCGACCTGGGTCCTGGTTGGGGCGAATAGAAGAGGCAACCAATCAATGTGTTTCTCTCACATCAATGTTTCTCTCTGTCTTTCCTTCTCTCTTCGACTCTCCCTAAAAATCAATGGAAAAATATCCTCGAGGGAGGATTAACAACAACAAAACTTTATGAGAAAATCTGGTGAGGAAAAAAAAATGACCGAAGAGTTTTATACTTATCTCCATTTCCCACAAAGCCAAAATTGAGCTTGTTGCTGCATTTAGGTAATTACTTAATGTCCTCAGGTTCAGTACTGTGTTGTGGCTCATTTTAAAGGTATAAAGATAAGTCCACCAATAATTTGAAAAATATATTTTAATAATATTGTTTCAATTTTCCCTCTGTGAAAAATTGAAATTTGTAATTTTCAAGTACAGCAACATATTTATATCATGTCAATATGCCTATATCATTTTCATACTCATCTATTTTCATCTTGTTCATATTATATTAACACATTTCTACATGCAGCTACGTCATGAGTCACAAAGAGATAAACACTTTAGTCCTGGCCGGTCACTCAATTGGTTAGAGCATCGTCCTGATAAGCCAAGGTTGTCAGGGCACATACAAGAAGCAACCAATGAATGCATCAATAAATGGAATAATAATTCAGTCTCTCTCTCTCTCTCTCTCTCTCTCTCAAAAAAAAAATCAATTTTAAAAAATTTAAATTAAATAAAAGATAGGCACTTCATCCTAAATGCTGAGCCATTTTTATTTAAATAAAGGTATAAATATTACTAATAGCATGTTGCTTAATTTATTGCTTCAAAGCAAGTGGGAAAGCAAAACATTTGAAGTCAGAATGTTCATCTTTTAGTCTTTGCGGTAACCAACTCTCCAGAGATTTACTGTTTTATTGAATTTACTGTTAATTAAATGGACAAGCTAAGTGCTTTCCTGCAACATGAAAGCTTTAACACCACTTAATGCAATATTGATTTTCTTTAGATAGCATCTAACATAAAAACACTCTTGGGATTTCTTAAGTTACAGCTTTCCTTACTTGGTTTTACTCTTTCAAAATTGAAGTGATTGCCACAGCCTATCTAATATGAGAAATGGAATTCGTGATTAAAAATTAAATTATTTTCATTTGAGTACACTTATATTGCTAAAAATGTACCTTCACCATAGATTAGAATTGTTTACAGCCACATTGAAGGCCAAAGAAAGATTCTCAAAATAGCGTAGATAAAACCTTGACTACATTTTGTAATATGATTTATACAAAGCTAATCATTTATCCACATGGCTGTAGCAATGTATTTTAGAGAATAAAAGTTTCGTATTAAAACTGGTATTGCATGTGTTGTTTTTTAAAAAATATACCCGTGGAAGCAGGTATACAAAGAAAAAACTATACACATTACAAAGAAGTATATACATTATGTGTGTGGGGGGGCAGATTGAGCAAGAAAAAGAGAGAATTCATGGACAACAGTGATTGTTGGGGTGGATGGGGGGGTGGAGGTAGAAGAGGGCATAGAAGGATAAATGGTGATGGAAAAAATAAAATTTTTAAAAAGGAAGTATACACATTAAACATAAGAAAAAAAAGTGAACACATACATATATTCTAGCACAAGTAGATTCCCAAGAATCAATAAAGAAAACCTCAAATGTGCTTCCCCTTCATTCTACTCAGCTTTATGAAATTAGGACACGGGAAAGGGCTAGAGAGCAGACCCACCATCTTTTTTGCCTCACGATGCCAAAAAGTTACTCTGAGGTTTTCATTTTGTTTCTTAACGCCCTGATATCATTTAACCGGTTTTGGGAGAAGCAAAATAAATGTACTTTTTCTCAGATCCATGAGTCCAGTTCATCTTGTCACCTAGCGCTTATCATTTGCAGAAGAAAAACGAGTGCTGGCATCCGGGAGGCGGTATGGAGTGGTCCATGTAGCACATTCCACAGATGGAGGCAGCCAAAGAGAATGTATCCTTCCACTGAGAAACACTGAAGTTCTACATGTTGAAAAATCTCGGAATGTTTCTACATAAATGCAAATTTTCTTTGTAATATGCACGGCAAAAATGAGTGCATACACAATTACAGAGGCAAAATTTCTAGAACTCAGCTACTTCTTTTTCCAGGCTTCCCGGGCATTTAATTAAAAATCCACATAAGTGGGCAGAGTAAGACCTCGCTTTGAAAGTTTTGAGACAGAGAGCTGTTTCCGTCTCTAAGAATCCGAGAGGATGGGAAAGCGGGAGCTATCTGTGTTACTTGAGAACGTTACTGGCACTTAGATCTGGAAGAAATCTTAAGATCAGTCCTTGCAAACCTCTTTTTTTAAGGAAAAAGGATGGGACGCAACATTTCCTTTCTTTTCATTCCTCACACTTCTGACAAACAAGACCAACGCCAACATTTACTTGTACGAGTCATGTAATTTGACAAATATTTTAAGTTTTATAAGAAAGGAGTCATCTTAGAATTTGAACATGAGAAATTCAAGCAGGCAAGACCTCAATAAAGTGGAAAACACAACCCCATAAGAATGGTCAGCACCAAAGTCAGGGTGTGAGCAGCATGAGGTCAGATGCAGCGTGGGCAAACTACGGCTCACTGGCCGGATCTGGCCTGTTTGAAATGAATAAAACTAAAAAAAAAAAAGACTGTACCCTTTTATGTAATGATGTTTACTTTGAATTTATATTAGTTCACACAAACACTCCATCCATGCTTTTGTTCTGGCCCTCCAGTCCAGTTTAAGAACCCATTGTGGCCCTCGAGTCAAAAAGTTTGCCCACCCCTGGGTCAGAGTAAGGAAGTTGACACTTTAAGGCTCCTGTTCCTGCCTTTTCTCATTGGAGCTGCTCCTTGAGAAATAGCCTCCCACTGAAAAGATACAGAAAATATTTTTTTTCTTTTAAGAAATAATGTAAGGCCCAATTTAAAAAAAAAGGAAATTATACCAGTTACTAAAATTCTTTAAATAATATCTAGAAATTACATATAGCTATCATTACCATCCTCTCAAGAGAAATATTTTAAAGAAAAAGGGCAAGTGATTATAGAATTGCCTGTGTAAAATATTTCACTTACGCTATAGCTCTTAAACTCATGTGTTTTTTTTTTTTTTAAAAAATCCCACTTATATAATACTACATTTGACAATCAATATTATGAAGATATATACCAGCTACTCAAATACTTATCTTCCTTTAAAGTCCTCACTTGTCCATTTAAAAACTGCAGGTTACAGAAATTAACGTTTTGGATGTTGAAGAAAATAGGTCCTTTGGAAATCCAAAAGTTAAAAATAAAATGGAGCACTTTTTCCTAAGAAACATTGTAAATAATTTAGGGAAGTATTAGAATTTCACAGCTGTTCAGGAAAATCCTCACATTTCCCAGAATAACACTTTGGACAAACATTTAAGATTTTAGATCGGTCATCAATCCCAGATTGCTCCTGGTGGGCTGGCCAGAGCGTTGTGTTTTGGAGGCCCAAACATGGAGTTGTTGTGACCTGGAATCCCACGGCAGGCTGAACAGAGGCCCTGAGAGGAACCCCCACGGATATGAATTGAGGGAATGGGTGAAACCGCCCATTGAACGAGCCAGTGTTTCCAGTAAACTCTGACAGAATATTTGTAGTATGATTCAACTGAAATTTCTATGCATATTTAAACAGGCCCATAATTTAAATTCTAACTCGTCTCTCAGATTGCATTGGCATCCTTTGAAGCTTATTTTAATTTCATTTCACCTCTGTGAAATCACTGGGTAAAGAAAATATAATGGGATAATAACGGAACAGCACTAAAAATGAATTGGTAGCCCTGCTGTGGACTGACTTGGGTTCCATTCCTGAAAGCCATATATTATCTTATCAATGATAGCCAATACTCAAAGCTTCCGACTCAAGGAAATCAGTCTAGTATGGGGCTGTCTACTCCTCTATATTCGATCTATGATTTATCTCTAAATAAAATTACATAGTTTCATCTAAAAGGGGGTTTTATTATTCTTAATAAAACATTTAAGCCCTAACCGGTTTGGCTCAGTAGATAGAGTGTCAGCCTGCAGACTAAAGAGTCCCAGGTTCGATTCCAGTCAAGGGCATGTACCTTGGTTGTAGGTACAGCCCCAGTAGGGGGTGTGAAGGAGGCAGCTTATCGATGTTTCTCTCTCATCGATGTTTCTAACTCTCTATCCCTCTCTTTTCCTCTCTGTAAAAAATCAATAAAATATGTTTTATGAAAACATTTAATCTTGAGGCTATGGTCATATTTGCTTCCTATTTTTACACAAAGAGCACAACTTCTTAAAAAAATAAAAAGACAGATATTCATTCCCAGATAGACAGATTGTATCTGTGGAGATACCATCATTAAGGGATTATACATGGTCTCTGGCTTCATGAAGTTTACATTCCAGCCCAACAAACAGGAAATGATAATACAGTATGAGAACAACTATGGCTGGGAAAATAAATGTACTATGAAAACATGAGAAATGCCAATGACCCAGAAGAAGTAATTTGACCAGTAGGATAAACAGAATTTATCGAGGTGAAAAGGAGCATGAACAGTATTCCAGATAAAGGAAAGAGCAGATGCAAAAACTCAGAGGATAAAGAGAGCAAGATTTAAAAAAAAAAAAAAAGTAAAGTTATGTTTGGCTGGGCTGCAGAAGAGGAAGAGGCAGAATGTATAGGGAATGTAAGTGGTTTCAGTCATTTTAACTATTTTTGACATTGCCCAATGAGCAATGGGGAATCACTGAAGGGTTTAAGAAAAAAAAAATTCTTTTAATGGTATGATGAGATATATTTGCATTTCAGAAAAGTCATAGAATAAAGATGAGATTGGAGGAGTCATGAGAGAGATAGAGAAATCATCCGATCTCTAGACAGAAGTGTAGGGGGAATGAAGAAAAGTGATAGAACTCCCCAAATCCAGCCCCATGTAGCTATTAGCTATCCTATTAACAGTGCAGCCCTGGAACAGAGAGGAACACACCAGAGGCGGCTTGCTCTCTCACCGCACCATGACAACCTTAGCAGGTGGCCACCACGAGCCAACGTAAAACAAAAACAATGTGAACATTTGTTGTGCTGTGTAAACGTGGCCATTGAGAGAAAGATGGAATTAAGACAGAGAAAATACAAGTTCAGACCTTGTTGATAAGGTGACAGTTTTTTTTAAAAAAATGGAAGATGTATTCCAAAATCCAAAGTCTTAAAATACTTTCAAATATCACACTTAAATCCATTTAACATAATTCATTTAAATACAGCCTGTTCCCGTTTAATTTACACATCTCCTGGCAGCCACTCCACTTGGAAGTGGCAGCGTTCTTGGACCCAGTAGTTAGGTAAATCCGCGGCAGGCGATCGCAAATCAGTTTCCATCTTGATTTAATGCTGTTTTAAGTTTATAAGAGAAATGTCACTGTGTAAACAACAGACATTTTGATTAAACACCAAAGTTCTTATTCTGGCTGTTAAATCAATAATGCAGCTGGACTGGAAGTCGTTTACATTCCCTCAAAACTGGGCTTCGGGTCAGCTACTATTGCACTGACATCATTTTCCAGCAAGATCTGGCGGCTCTAGGCAGCCAGTTTGGAAATATCCTTTACAAACAACCACATAATTTTCAACATTAACACATCAAGAAGACGGTCTCACAAATGGCCTCTGCTTAAAATAGGACAGACAATCCAAAAATAGTCTTTCATCGAATGTGTGCTTCACTAGTAAAAATCTTGTAAGGTAATTTTATCAGGAATATAAGACAAAGGCGTTTGGTGACGTTATTTATCTTGTCCTGCACCTGAAATTGCCTTTGCAAGGCCTCTTACTTTCCTTTCTCTAGTAGATTCTTTAACTAATTAGTTACATTAATTAATATGTAACTCAGAGTTATGATTCTCAAATTTGCTTTGGTGGCAGAGCACCTGTAAGCCAGTGGGCTTTTTACTAAACAAGCTCCGGATAGAAAGTCATAGATACTGGCATACTATTTAATTATGCTACGCGAAATTAAGGAATTAAGGAATGCTTTGCAAAAAAAAAAATAATAATAAAACCATGTTATAGAGCCAAACATAAAACCAAAACTAGTATCAAATACTACCATTAAAAAAAAAGGCAGTTGGGCCTGCCCAGTGTGGCTCAGCTGTTGAGTGTCAACCTGTAAGTCAGGAGGTCATGGTTTGATTCCCAGTCAGGGCACTTGCCCGGTTGCAGGCTCGATCCCCAGTAGGGGGTGTGCAGAGGACAGCCAATTCTCATCATTGATGTTTCTATCTCTCTCTTTCCTTCTCTCCTTTCCTCTCTGAAATCAATAAAAACATTTTTTTAAAGGCAGTTGGATACACCACAATAGACCATGATGAGTTTTTCAAAGAACCTTAATTTACAACTTGCATATTTATAGTCATCAAAAGTTAAAAGAAAAAATATGAAGCAAAAATGCTAAAAATGTATTCAAGACCTAATAACTATTATTTTATTGAATTGCAAAAAAATGTCACTATGATTCCATTTCAGCAGCAAGACACTCTCACACAGCTGGCTGAACAACAGAATGCTAGAATCTATGTTAAAGAATCACGAATTCAGCACTTTTAACAAGACCTCAAATCGCTTACCTGTAGGAATTCTCTGACATTAGATCCCAGGACGCGCAAGATTGTATCATAACCAGATTCTTGACAAAAGACGAAAAACATCTTCCCAAACATTTGGAGGATTTCTCCAGCGTTGAGATCTATTTTATAGGTTTGGAAGAGTAATAAGAACAAAACATACACGTAGACTATTATTAATGGGAAGAAGGAAGACAACTGAATAACAACAAAATGTGAAATATCCTCAATTTTTGTGCTTAGTGAATATACATCACATGAATAATTTCTGGCCAGGACAATATAATGAAACCTGAGAAGACAATACATTACCATGCTAACACTGTACATTTGTACTTAATAGCAAAGCAATCAGTTTCTCGGCTTCCATGACAAACTAGTTAATTAATTTTAAGCTTTTTTAAAATGTATATTTAATTTAGAACTTATTTTTTTCTGAAAAATACAGGAAGGTCCTGAAAATCATCCAGAATGCACATGACAATATTTTGGTATAGAAAGATTTTTCTTTATCTAAATACACATATTAATAAATTGGTTGCATATAGTATGTACTCTAATATCCTGCTTTTTTGTTTATATCCAATTATTATTTCTTAAAACTTTAAGATTTTTTCTGTAATTTCAATCACTACCTCACTCAACATAGAGATGCAACATTTTATTTAATTGATCCCCTTATTCAAAATGTAAGCTTCTCTAATTTTTGATACTATAAGTAACCCTGAAGTGAAAGCACATAAATCTTAATGCAAATAAAACTAATAATTTTCTTTGGAAAAATTCTTAAAAGGTTTAAATATTTTTTAAGTATCTGATTTATTTTTAAACTCTATCCTTGACTACACTAGATAGTTAATTTTCAAAAATTGACAAATTTATATGAAAAAAATCATACTTGTTTCAATTTTGATTACAAATGAGATTGGATATTTTCTTCTTATTATTAACAATTCACCATTTTTCTTTGTAATTCTTATATTCTGCAATAGATAGTATTTGCTCTACTAGTTATATTTGGCAAAGCTAAAAAGCTTTTTTTTTTATATTCTACCCAAAGCTTAGTTATAAATTAAGTACTTTGAGACTAAGAAACACTACTTTCAGAAAGACTTGTTTTTATAAAGCTATTTTTTTTAACTTTGCCTTCATTGCATAAGTTTTGTCTGACATAGATCTATTTCCTGTTTCTTTTACCAATAGCTAACAAAACTTATTATAAAAGAGATTTGGGAATCAAATTTTCTCCATTCCACAATGCAGAAATGAGTAATTATTACACTGTGCAATTCTGTGCTGTTGACATAGTAATGTATTATTACATTATTGAAATTACTACATTAAGAAGCAATAATTTATTTTTTCTTCCCCAACATATGGCTTTCTGTGGGGAGGGGCAAAGAGCTCCTCTATTCTCTAAAGAGTTCGTAAAAGGAGAAATAGACTGAGAATAGCCTCAGCCTAACATTATATGTAAATGTCTTCCCATCAGGGTTGTGCAGTGCATAACCTACATCCCTGTACATCCTATATAATACTACTAAAAGCCTAATATGCTAAATGTTCGATCAACCGGTCAGTCGTTCAACCAATCAAAGCATAATATGCTAATGATATGCTAAGGCCTCTCAATTGCTCGCTCTGATGTGCACTGACCACCAGGGGACAGATAGTTGACTGGTCGACCAGTCACTATGACATACACTAACCACCAGGGGGCAAATGCTACGACTAGTAGGTTAGCTTGCTACTGGGGTCCGGCCAATCCGGATTGAGTGAGATGGGCAGACATGCCCTGGAGCCCTCCCACGGTTCCTCCCGGCTGGCCAGCCTCTCACATCTCTCCCTGTCCCCAATCATGCACCGGTGGAGTCCCTTGGCCTGGCCTGCACTCTCTCGCAATCCAGGACCTCTTGGGGGATGTCAGAGAGCCAGTTTCCTCTCGATCCCACAGGCCAGACCGAGGGACCCCACTAGTGCACGAATTCGTGCTCCAGGCCTCTTATCACTATATAATGGACTATGCATTCCTTTGCACTTGTATGTGTAACCTGGCCAAAGAAGGAAAGTCACATTCAACTTACTGAGGACTTTGCTTGCAGCAGCAACCAAATCATAAGTTTTAGAATCATCATATATTATTCTGACAAGAAACTGTCCTTCTTCATCTAATTGTGCCTCTTTTCTGGAAAACAAAAATGAGAGAGACAAGAAAAAAAGCTGGAATAAAAGAATAGGTTCTATAATTACAATGATTGTATAAATAATGGTTTTTTATCTGAAATATAACTTCTTTTTGGCAAATTTGTTTAAATCAATGTGCTGTACTTAAAAGTCTGGTGGTTAAGAGGAAATTATTTCACATCCCCCTCCCCAAATTAAAAGGACATAGGTTAAGTATATTTTAGCAGGGATAACATTTCTATAGTACTAGAGTACTTTAACACCCAATCCAACACCTGATATTAAATATAACCAAGAAATAACTTTTGGTTTAATAAATAGTTAGCAAATATTTGTTTAGTTCCTATATATGCCAGGCATTGTTCTAGGCACTGGGAATACAGTGTTTAGTAACGTAAACAAAAATTCCTGATTACCTGGAACATTCATATTGCAAGAGGGGAGACAGAAGGGGCATAAAACTCATAAGTGACAAATATAATGGTAAGTTGTTTGGAGAAACATAAAGCCGGATAGTGGCATAAGGAGTTCAAGTACAATAATTGGAAGCTCACTGAGTAGCCGGAAATGGAGTGGAGTCTGAAGGAGCTCTGGGAGTGAGCCATGAGCCAGTGGGGACATGTGTTCTGGGCAGAGGGACGACGAGTACATGCAAAGGGTTAGACAGGAGCAGCCTGGGGAGTTGTGGGAACAGCGGGGGCTGGGGCTAAAACAGAGGCAGGGCAGAGTAGCTGTCAGGGAACAGATCAGAGAGGTAACATGAGGTTGGACGTTGGAATGACTGACATTTACTTGAAAGAGATGGAGGGTCCTGGTACTTGTGATATGATCACTGAGACTAGTGGACCTGGTTAAAGGGATCGATCCTGCTACTGCATTGAGAATGGACCAAAGGGCCTAGGACAGAGCAAGGAGACCGGTGAGAAGGCTACCGCCAACATTCTGGCGAGAAAAGCTGCTGACTTGGTTCAGAGCAGAAGCAGAAAAGGGAGTGAGAAGTGGCCCATGTTGGGATATATTCTGAAGGCAAATTCAACATGATCTGCTGAGAGGCTGGATGGAGGGTGTGAGAGAAGGAAAGGACACAAAGATGACTAAGGTTTTGGCCCGAGCAACCGGATAGATGTTGTACCCAATTCAGATAGGAGCTGAATTGGGAAAGACTGTTGGAGGTGGACAGGGGGGTAAGATAAAGAGCTGTGTTTCAACGTATTAAAGTTTGCGTGCCAAGTGTACTGAAAACATCCTCTAACACAGTGGTTGGCAAACTCATTAGTCAACAGAGCCAAATATCAACAGTACAACGATTGAAATTTCTTTTGAGAGCCAAATTTTTTAAACTTAAACTATATAGGTAGGTACATTGTTATTAACGTAATGAGGGTACTCCTAAGGCTTAGGAAGAGCCACACTCAAGGGGCCAAAGAGCCGTATGTGGCTCGCGAGCCGCAGTTTGCCGACCACGGTTCTAACATATCCTTAGACTACTACATACAGTAGCTCAAAATATACCCAGCATTAATGAAAGGGCTTTATAGTAACTGTTAATAGTTGTCATGGTTGTATACATATATCTATTTTGATAGGCTTTGGATTGTTTTTCTCAAACTAGTGTCCAAAGGGGACAGAAAATCTATTGTCCAAAGTATCGCCAGCGGTGGAAGAGAAATGACAAGTTCCCAGATACTGTTCCAATGTTCAATTCACAAAAATACGTGGAGTTTGGATATCAATCTCTGACGCTCAGTCCAAATCTTCTAAATTCTTGTACACTGCCAGGAGAATACAAGAGAAACTAGCCACTATTGTTAGGTAAACTTTCAACACAGTAGCTCGAAATAGCTCCTTAAATGCTGCCAAGGCCGGCCACATGGAGTCGCAACCACTTTCTCTTCCTCAGAAGCTATGCTACCACAGCTGCTGCTCGTGGCTCTGCCAGTGTCTGCTCAAGGGAACAGTTCAAATAGTGGCATGTCTTAGGTCCAGGTGGGATGGAGATGGTCTTTAAAAACCCTGTGTCCTTCAGAGCATACCATTTATTTGCTGGCAGTTATGCATAACAGTGCAGAAAACACAGCATAATTTTGTAGGCACAGAAATTTCAGTTCAGAGCCCACAATCCAAATGAACTCGAACAAGTCAAATAGACCACGTGAGCATTAAAACCCCTCTTTTCTAAAATGGGAGCAATTATATAACCCACAAGTGTAAAGAAATAAAGTGCGAAAGAATGTTCTAAGCAGTTGAAAAATTATATACTAATGACCATAGTACTTCCCTTATCTATATATTCAAAAATTTGATGTGAAATCCTCCCCACTTTTGCTGCACAGACACAAACACATCTTCAAAATCCTCAAATCTTTTTAATACTTAAAGTCAGTGAAATATCCCCAAATCATAACAATATAATCTACAAACACTGACTTATCTTTTGAAAAATGCTATTATGTACCTTATGCATTCTAATTTCTATTTGTATAAAAATACAAAATACTGATGCTCCTTGACTTATGATGGGCTTTTGTCTCAATAAGTGACCCAATAAACATCATAAGGTGGAAATATAAGTCGAAATATTTAAGTTGAAAATGCACTTAACACACCTAACCTAGCCCACCTTAACTGTGCTCAGAACACTTACATTAGCCTACACCTGGACAAAAATCATCTAACACAAAGCCTATTTTATAATAAAGTGTTGAATGTCGCATTTATCTGATGGGCTACAGTATCTGGAAAATGCCGGCAACACAGTACACTGTAGAGCACCAGCTGCTCACCCTCGCCACCGCGTGGCTTGCTGAGCTCACTGACACTCTCAGCATCACCAGCCTGGGAAGAGAACAAAATTCAAAATTTGAAATGTGGTTGCTACTGAATGCATATCGCTTTCCTCCCATCACAAAGTCAAAAAATCTTATGTCAGACCATCGTAAGTCAGGGTCCTTTTGTATAAGAAAAAAGCTTAAAAAAAAATCCTCCACTCTCCTGAGGTACACACTGTTATTCAATTTGTTCATACTTGAATATACTTGTATAAATAACACACACTAGATAATACTGCTTTCAAACCCCCCTTTCTTGACTTACTATTTGATAGACATCCGTTTATTATTAAGTATATTTCTATGCCTTGACTATATAAAATTGTATTCTATACACATATTAAAGTTTTAGTAGATATTTAGATTGCTCTTATTTTTCACAAGTGCAAACAATGTTGTGATGAATATTTGGTAGCTAACAATTTATATTTCTGTGTAAAATAGGATAAATGTTTGGAAATGGAGTTGCCGGTCTGAAGGACGTGGATAGACTAATTTTTCTCACGTTGTCACTAATATCTTGTTATGCAACAGCATTGCTCTACAGGCTGAAATTTTAAAGCCTCTGATTTAGGGCATCCTAGTAAAATATCAATTGATTTTAGCTAAATATATAATAAAATACAAATTAGTTCATGCTCTCACTGTGCCCTATTCTGATTCTTCCAGTGGGGATAAATCAAATGACATAACTCCTGGAACCGTCTCAGTTTCTTGGAAGCACCAATCCATAGCACCCATTACGTGAATGATGTACAAACAAAATACAAAGCCCCTCTAAATAAAATAGAGGAATGGCCACTTCCCTAGAATTCCCCTAACCGTGAGTCAAGACACCCTTTCTTTCCTAGCTTTCCTTTTAATGAAATAAGCTCCCTTATCTTTTAAGCTTTGCTTCCTGAACTGATCAACCCAACATGTTCCCTGGAGGAAGGCTGAAATAATAAATGAAATAGTAGGACATGAAAGGAAATAATCACTTCCATTAAAACTTTCACACTGAATTCCAATGACTTCTTCAAAATATTTAGGATTGCTAGTTTATTATATTTATGTTTAAAGTCTTTGGGAGCTTTGGGTCACTCTTTATTCTTTCCCACCAATGCCCTCCACCACTCCCCACTCCATACCCCACCTTAGGGGAGGGAATTTTGTCACAAATATTTGAGCACCTATTATGCCCTGGGACTTTCCTAAGCACTTTAAATATACCAATGGACAAAATAAATGTCCCTGTCCTCATAGAGTTTACATTTTAGCTGGCAGAAACAAGCAATAAACAATAAGCATAATATATGCTCAAATTTTATAATCTATGATGAAGTGATAGATGCTACAAAAGAAAGTAGATGAGGATAAAGGGTGAGAGCAGCACCTAGGAGCAAGGGGCAGGATGCAATGCTAGATGTAGTCAGCATGGAGGCTGCCTGGAGAAGTTAGCATCAGAGCAAAGACTTCAGGAGGCAAAATTGATCTCTATGACTTAATAATCTTTCGGGACCCATTTCCCTTCTTTCTGTAGCCCATTCTTCATCTTTTCCCCTTATCAGAGGAAAAGCTAATTGGAGATATTATAATAAACAGTTTAGGGAGACTTGATTGAATACATTAAACTGAACAGAATTTACAGTGCAAATGGAGTAATAAACAAAAGAATTCCTGGCCACATGGTCATTGAAGACAAACTCTCACCTGGGGAAAAATGGCAAATAATTGCACCCTATACATTTGTAGCTACAATAACTGTTTAAAAACTGAGTATTTATAAATGAAAATTTTTCCAAGTAGCAATTCATTTCCTAGTTACTTTTAGAGATGGCTATTTGTTATAGTTTAAACTGATCATTTATTTGCAGCACTTACCCTTCCCCCAAAGAGTAGTGTGCATATATCCTATATAATAAAAGGCTAATATGCAAATCGACTGAACGGTCACTATGAAGCACACTGACCACCAGGGGGCAGACGCTCAATGCAAGAGCTGCCCCCTGGTGGTCAGTGTGCTCCCACAGGGGAAGTGCTGCTCAGCCAGAAGCCGGGCTCACTGCTAGCAAGTGCAGCAGCGGTGGCGGGTGACTCTTCCGCCTCTGTGGCAGTCAGACATCCCCCAAGGGCTCCCGGACTGCAAGAGGGTGCAGGCCAGGCTGAGGCACCCCCCCCAGGTGCACAGATT